GAGCAAAACTAAATCTTACATAGTGCAACTTTAAATGCTCCATTCTCATAAATCCTCTACCTAAATTAGAAAAGCTAGATGGGGATGGATACATTATCCCAGCTGATCTGGAAACATTTTTTTTAGTGCAGACTTTAATGCTATGTCTAGGAAGAGACTGAGGAAGCTAAGTGAAATCTCCCCATTAGGAGTAAACTAATTATTATTGAATGTATTGACTTTGAGGCTGTGTCCACTAGCGTTCACTAGTGTGTCCTAGAAAGATATACAGTGCACTCTGTAAATGTGTGCATCCATATTGGGTGAACAGTCTTGAAATTACAACCCTTTTATATATAGTTCTCCCAAAGTGTTGGGGTAGTTCTTAAATGAAGGTAATCCATAACAAATTATTACTTCTCTCAAACTGTAATGGGATTATGTTACTTATTTTTTTTCTGGATAAAGTAATCTCATTACTCATTACTTCTGCATTACTCTATAACAATCATGCACATCTGTACCAACAGGGAAGCGCAAAGGAAAACCCAGTAGACCTTTTCAGGCTGATTCCATTTTTACAGCTAATATGGCTGACAGCCATTTTTTAGGTCTTGTTTATTTTTGTTTGTTTTTGTTTTTAATAAGCAGGCAATAAAGACAACATTGTTTATTTGTTCTTAAATAAGTGCACCGATATGAAACACACAGGCTGGCGTGTTTGGGAGGCCTATCACATGCATGTGCACTCACTTCAGATGAAGTGTTCAGAGAAGAAATCACAAATTTTTACCATATTTCTGATATTTCTGATCTTGCTCAAGTTAAAAAAAGAAAAGAAACAAACTGCTTTGGTGCACATGTTGCTCTGTCACCACTACAATGTTGTAAAATGGTGTCATGTAAGTGATCTTATAGATAAAATATAATTTGTTTGCTCAATTGTTTCTAGTGACTGTGGGACCATTTGAATACAAGACACTGGTAGTTACCATATTTCCAAGCATTTTATGAATACACCTTTAACTGAGTTCCACTGTACCTTAGTTCCTAGCATATCTAGCTCACTAGCTAGCACTGTAACTGACTGTGTTAATGGTAAATGACTACAACAAGATAGTAGCATACTTCACCTGCTGTCCAAGAAAAGGTAAAAGCCTTTGGTTTAATGGCATATAGCCACAATAGTATGTTAATTGTTACAGTAGGCAGTTAACTGCAAGTTAAGTAATCATGTTGTGTTGTGTTATGTTTAACTGTAAAAAATGTTTTTCTCTCTGGTTATTGTAATTGGGTGGAGTGTTATTCATTACATACATTATGCAGTACAGTATTGAGCAACTGAAATCTCACAGCATTTGTACAGTGATTTTAAGGCCATGCAATCAACTATAGAGTCAATCAATTAAATTATAATTGATAAAGCCGCTGTGCATTATGGGGTCACAGATATTGACAGGTTACTGATGGATTGCTCTTTCTTGTTAAGACTTAATGGGGTACTTTTCTTTTAAGCTTCATCAATGATTCCAACTTAGTGTGATGTCAAGGGCTACCATTTCTCTCCAAATCAATGCTGAGTAATAATCTGAGTGTGCTTTCAATAATAATCACATCCATCTAAAAACAGTAATCTGTCAAAACACATGTGAAAAAAATGTTAAGGCAGCGTAAAGAGTCAGTGTAAAACTTCAAATCACACTAAAGCACAAAATGTATGGAAATCCAAGTTGCATAAAAAATAAAATTTGTTTATTACCTTAAAAAGAAATTTTATAAGGAATTGTCATTCATGTAATAAAATAAATGTATGTATTACATGTATAAAAAATGCATTTACATTTGTATGTATACATAGCTTTTCATCTGAGCTAGTATTATTTCTTTGTAAAGGTAAGAGGCTGATTTTCTGCTGGCCATTCAGACCACAGGCCCTGATGGACCTAACGCAGGCGCAGTATATTCTGTGCTGGCGGCTCATTAAGTTAAGTGCTTCTTGGCTTTCCATCATTCTGGCTCTAAGTGTAGTCAGCATGCCGTAGGAGCCCACCCCCTCAAGTTTCAGTCATACATGAAGAACACCAAAGCCTAAGGTCATACACCATTACAATCAACTCATTTAGAGGACAAAGATTGATGCACTGTTTTTCATTTCAAGGAAATGTGTATGTATTATCTGTACTGTTCTTGATGTGAAGAAGAAGGCTGTTGTGGAAAATTGAAATTATAGATACTGTTGATATACAATATATACAACTTTATACATTTCTAGACACAATGAACAGTCCTATGCACTGCTTAAAAAGACTAACTGAGCAAAATCACCAACCATTTTAAATAAATAAACTTGAGCCTAGTGCACATTGCAGGTGTTAATTCAGCACTGGTGATTTTGCTGTGCATCATTGTACAGCTTCACTGCTTTTTTCCAAAAGTATCCTGTATAGTAACTGTAGCCTACAATTTTTATGGCATTATTGCATGATCAAGGGCTGTATGTGGTTCTTGTTATCCATTAAGATGCCACACCTAAATTCTGTGGACAACATTTAACTGATTTCAAACACATTAGAGAGCCGTAACATAGCGGTACTGTGAAAAAATAGTGCAAATTATAGTAATTATAGTAATTTACAGGCAGCAAGTAAAGATATACCTAATATCTAAGTATAGTTTATTACAGTTTTTCCTGCACCTCTGTATTTTTAATATTATACAGCTCATATGTACTCTAATGTGCACCCACAGCTGTCTGAGGGCCCTCTGTTTGGCTACATTACGTAGTACAACAAAATAGTGTCCGATAGCAAATGCTTGAACATTGATGTATATTTATATAGCTGGAGGAATGATCGTGCTAGATCTGTTTACCAATCACACCATTAGCTGAATGTCACATTACAGCAGTCACATGAATATATGCCTGTCATTAGACTACAAAGGTGACGGTAACCAAATATCTATTTTAATATAATTCTAAAGTTAAAGGATGAACTAGTTCACTAAAACAGAAAAAAAACACAAAAAACCTGTGGAATTAATTGTAGATGAAAAAATAAAAGAAAATTAAAATAAAACTAATAAGAAAGGCTTGGAAGTTCCACTCCTGCCACTACAATACTCAGAGACAGGCTGCTCAAGATCACTTCCCAATATGGTTTGCAAATAAGAGGCAATGAATATTGAGCTTATTAACTTACTTGACAAGAAGCTTGACATGTGTCTCCTAGAATGCAGCAATCCACTGTATTAAAGGAATACAGTAAATGAGTTCAGTTTTTCTGCTGTAAATTAACATCAATTGTTTACAATGTATAAATAGCAGGACACCCCCAAAATCATCTTAGTATAGTCTGAGTAGCATAATATTCTAGTCATCAATAAGTGGTAGTATAGAGCTGCAGACCTGGCCTATTTGGCTGCCAGAGGTGTATTGGTGGTCAGACACAGCACAAATTCAGGGCACTCACAGTTTAAATCAATAGTTCTGACACAGCAGTAACATCTTACTCTTCATCAAATGGCCCTAAATTGCTTCTTGTACTTTATTATTATCATAAATACATATTTATGTGGTTTTAGCCAAATGCTTTTAATTAATATTTACATGACAATTTTACAACCTCTCTTTATCTCTTAGAATTAAACAGGTTGTTTTTGTTAATGTGGATGTAAATGACCTCTGTTCCGATTGGTTGCCTTTTACTGTGCCTTATGAAGAAAGAAGTCCAAGCTAAAATGCTCCTTAGCTGCATTCCAAAAACTCGGCAGTAGTCAAGAAAGGTTGGTCCTCAGTAGGGTTGGCCTATGAAGGGTCCTTGTTTGTATTAAACAATTTAGAATGGAACAGCACCCCACCAACATGCAGCCAAGATGATATTGTCATCATTGAAGGTAGACTCTTATCAGAGGAGAGCTTTAGCTGAGTCATTTGTTTATTTAAGAATTTCCATCACCGCTCCACTAAAAACAATGGAATATCCTGTTTGCTGCCCACTGCCAAGCATTACAACTTCAGTGTGAAAGGGCAGAGCTAAACTGCTGTGGTCTGGGTAGACAAAATAAATTGGTTCTTGTGACATCACAAAAACAATGAATTAAAATCAGGCTGTTTTTGCAGTGTCCTTTCCATATGCGGACTGTATGGACAGGAAAGTTGACGGTACGTTTTGAAACTTCAAACATCACGCTCTTTTATTTCAACAAAGCAAGGGAAATTTGGCCTGATATGGGCCCTTTAATAGTGAAAAGATGTTTGGACAATCAGAAAAAAACAGAGGCGTGATGAAGAGCATAGTTTGGGATCCCTGGGCTACTTCACTGTTATAAAGCTGGAGCTCTGGTGGGCTACTGAGCATCAGGGGTCTGTGCTGCTTGAAAGTGTATGAATGTAGGCTCTGCTGTAATAGATGGCAATAGCAAATCCCCTGAGGGTTTTCGTCTATAGTTTTAGACTCACGAGGTCAAACGCAACCCCCCTACACACACACACACACACACACAGAGAGAGAGAGAGAGAGAGAGAGATATTGCAGTGTTACAGTTTTGAAATGTTTAATGTTCTAGTTTAACAGGTATTTATTATTTTTCATAGATCCTAAAACGTATCTTTTTATAATATTATTTGGCAAAAAATGCAGCATTATTTGCTTGTTAAGCACTGTGAATTGAATTGAATTGAATTGAGAGAGAGAGGGAGAGAGAGAGAGAGAGAGAGAGAGAGAGAGAGAGAGAGAGAGAGACCCTTTCAAACTTTCCCAGTCTCAGTAGGCTGCGCAATTCTAGCTGCTCATCAAAGTTAAACAGAAGCTCTCAGCCCCTCTCGCTCGCCGTCTAAAGATGTTTCTAGAAAAATTTTACAGCGTCAAATAACGATTTTTGGTCTTAGCTTGCGTCACACGCTGGTGATTCCGTCAGGTTCGGTCGCAAAGCATCACACCAGCCAGCCAGCCAGTCCGTCTCTCTCTCTCTTTCTCTCTCTCTCTCTCTCTCTCTCTCTCTCTCTCTCTCTCTCTCTTTTCTGAAGTACTGCAGAGATAGACGCTGGACTGCAGCTCGGAAAAAGCATCCTTACCGTCAGCTCTTCAGCTCTTCCCTCCTCAGTTCCTGAATGCCCATCTGAGGTAAATTTGTATTCGTTGGACGCCGCAGCTCCTTCGCAACAATGGAGTACCAGCACCGAAATCTCATTAAAAGGTGAGTTTCTCCTTTTTTTAACCACGCATTTTGTACGTCTCTTCCTCTCCAAATAAATCTACACCGTGTAAAAACTACAACTGCTGGTTTACAGCGGTTTAAAATGCCACACTATTTAGCATTGTCCTCTAAAACCTGAAGCTCCCTTAGCGCAGGTGGAAAGCTGAAGTATCGTTAACGTTAGCTAACCTAGGTTAGCCAGCAGTCTGCAGGTTCGCTAACGTTAGTTAGCTGAAGTGTTTACTTATTTGCGTATGAATTGAGGAAAGTTATAGCTAGTGTGTTTCATGAACGGGAAAGACCGTGTTTTCACCACACCACTGTGTACTGTTAGCTGAAGTTAGTCTTCCTTATGAGTCTAAGTTAGTTTACCTTAGCTGAGGATATTTGTGTGCTTTACAGTTGCATACAGTATTTTAAAGAGGATGTTCTGATGTCTGTATTTCAAACGCTGAAACTTTATTAGCTCAGTAAACCGCGAGTCTGTGGGCAGGAGTTTAAAGAAGAGCCAATTCTCCAAAAAAGTCTGTTGAAATGGCGAAGTCTGTTAAAAAGCGAGCCTCTTCTCTGAAACTCAGAAAACTAACTGACATGAGCCGAATCGACCGTTGGAGTAGAACACTCGGCGCGTGGGCATTCCGCCGCGAGCGGTTACAGCTCTCTCTGCGGGGAGAGAGAGAGAGAGAGAGCGAGAGAGCGAGAGAGAGAGAGAGAGAGAGAGAGAGAGAGAGAGAGAGAGAGAGAGAGAGAGAGAGAGAGAGAGAGAGAGAGAGAATGAAAGAAAGATAGAGCTGCGCGCGCCTACTGCTGTAACGGTCACGGCACTTTCCCGCGAAAGAGAAAAAAAACGGCACAACGTTTGAATAGCATTAGCGTCGTGAGAGCACACTCCTTTCTTCAGTCTGATATGCTCTGAAGAACTAATGCAGGCTATTCCTTCTTCTGTCTAGCAATATTGATGTGCAGTGGCTCAGAGAGGGACATTAATAGAAAATATCGCCGCGGTGAAATCACCGCTGTTAAAAAAGCAGTTCAGAAAGCTCTATATAACCGTGTATGAGCTCACTGAGGGGGTCTTGGGACCCGTTATGTGGTGGTAGAGTGTCGCCGAGGTTAGATTTTCCTTCAAACTCAGCAGGATGCTCTGTAATCTCAGCTGTAGCTGTTTAACATAGATTTTGTGGCGCCTTAAATCTGGCTGTAGGTAGAGCCGAAAACCAAAATTAAAAAACAAAAGTTTTTCTTTGCTTCATTTTCTCTTTTAACTTAAGATTGTTTGCAGATCTTGTGTATTCCCATTAAACACCAATGTCACCTGCTCTGCACAGAAATACATTGTGTGTTTTGTTAAATGTAGTATCTTGTAATATCAAACAGAAAGTGAAATTCTGAAACTGCAGAATCTGTGGCTCCATCTTTGTAGGCTAGATTAATTATTTTTAATAAAACCTGATAATTATTAGGCCTTTTTAAGGATCCCTGAAAATGATCCCTAAATTCTTACTTGCGCTCACAATACACTAACATAACTAAAATATAAACATAAAAGCAAAATGTACTTTAAGTATGTCTGTTCCTCCTCCTTTCATTTCTCAATTTTGAGTCTTAATTGCCCCATAAACCCATTTAACATGCCAGAGGACTCCTAGGCCTCAAGGTTGAATCCTTGAGACAAGCGCTTTATCAGCGGTGCCGCATTACGGGGACTTTCACAAAGTTCAAATGCATCAGCCTGCCTTCGTGACTCACCCTCATTAGAGTATATTTTAAATGGGCAATTTGGAGCTAAATAATTTATTGTCTGAGTAACAGCATCTATAGAAGTGAGTCAGTGTCCAGTAATTCTATTACTTGGCTATACTCATTTCAGAGCAGGGGACTAATGTGATTATGTCCTGTCCTCTAAGACTGAATCCAAGAATATGGTCCCAGATATTTTTCTGCTTCTTCAGTGTATCGACAGTGATTGTACCGTGCTCTCAGTGTAACGATTGTATTTTTCATTCAGATGAAGAAGGTGTTATTTGTACCTCCAGAAGTGTGTTTGCTGTGTTAAATGTACTGATGAAGGCAGATATCAGTCTTAAAGTGCACATTTCTCATATTTTAAAATTCATACCCATCTTTATCTTATTCCATTACTTGCTGTGGATCAGTGTCCCAACCTGCACGGTCCTGTCTGTGTCCTCTCTCACCGCCTGGGCATGTGTAGCTGAAACAGTGGGTGGAGAGATTGTCTCAGTGGTCTATACCTGGCATGCATGGTTGAACATATGTCCACTGCTTAGCTCGGGAACTGCAATGGAATCTGCAGCGGAGCCCACATGGCTTGGGGTGCGTGGTGTGGGGGCAGGTTCCCAGCCCACCGCTCTGCCCATTCAAGAGCGTCTTTATTGAATCACCTACAGAGCCGAGTGCTCAGCCGTAGTGTAATTGAGAGCGACAAGCCCGATATAATCTGAGCCTCTTTTGCTTTAGTGTGCGGCGGTGTATGGCGGTGTGCCGCATTATGGTGCACTGGTAGAGGGTTCGAGGGCTAGAAGGAGATAAGGTAAGAAAATGTTAAGACTAAAGTGACGGTAAGACTAATTCTGAAATTGAAAAGTACTTCTTTAGTAAAACGTGGATGTGCAATGAAGTAACCTGCAGCTGGATTAAAAAAAGAAGTGATCAGGTTAAGTTAGGTTAACTGTTATATGCAATTGTACGTAGCTGGTCATAATTTCTATAATAAATGTCATCTAATGCCAGGTCCAATCATTTTTTTGCTTGCTTAATTATTTAATGTGTCTAGTCTTTTAAATGAAGTATGGACCAATTTAAATTGTGCAGTTATATCATGACAGACAGTGCCTCCAGTGCATTTGTTATCCCACACACATCTCTTACCATCCTCTTATTCATTCTGTCTGCTTTCTTGTCTGTCTGTCTGTCTCTTATCCTCTCTCGCTCTCTCTCTTCTTCTCCTCCCCCATTCCCAGTAATAGCATCAGTGCCTGATGCAATCTTTTAACGTGAGATGTCCTAGCCTTCTCCTTATAGACGAGGTTATTCGCTTTCCGTTTTGATGTGATTATGTCCGCCTCCAACCATTAGGAGATTGGACTTGGCTGATTCCCACTGTCTGACACTAATGAAGGAAACCATCTCTCACCCACCTTCTCCTTTTTTGTTGTTCAGCTGGATGTGCGGATCTGTCTGTCAAAGTCAAGAATGATAAATTTACACACACATGCATCATGATCTGTCAGAGAGTAGTAAACTTACAAGGTGCATATGTAATGATCACTTTCAATATCACTGACTTTTAGGTTTCAAAGGAAAAAAAATGATGCACATTTTTCCAGGTATGCTTTACCATCCAAGTGATGGTAAGCTTAGTGACTATAAAAACGACTCTCAGTGCAACCTTCATAAGTTCACCTTCACTTCTATAAATGTATTGCATATGCAGCTAGATTAAAGTCATACACTTGTTTGACCAATACAGGAACATCAATTGCCTTCTCATGTTATTTGTTCGTAGATACTTTAGCTTTGTGTTTACAAAACTCAGTCCCTGTAAACACAAAAATGGAATCAGGTTAAAATCAAATTCAAATTTGTTGTTAAATCCTGAAGCCAACCTGTTAGTCTATATACAGTTTCAGTGGAGACTTTTTATTTTAAATATGTACTGATCATTCATATCCATCTTGTACGTAGGTAGAACAGAAACTGTGAGTGTTATATTACTGTGCACAGCTCAGAGACCACTTTATTTTGCAATAAATAAACTCCAGTTTTAGAAACTTAGTTTTTTTGTGCTAGTTTTTGTTTTACTTGTTCCTTTCTTGTGCAAGTGGATTATCTTGTAACTAATCACCTAAAAAAAGCTCTCCTGAAAAAAGTAGTAATTTGTACTTTGACCTTTTTGAGTTGAAATTAAATAAATGTTGGGTGGTCTCTCACTTTTGCACATTGATTATAAAATCAGACCAAAATCCCATTATGAAGCAGTACATGTTTTAGCCTGCCATGGATGCTAAAACATTCACGCACATGACCTGATGTTTTTTTTTATTCACCAAAGAGACCAGTGGGAACAGAAACACCATAGATCATCCAGACAGAGGCTATCGAGAGTGCAAGGCCTATTTTCAGTCCTCTTGTGAGTGATCACACCTAAACTGTACTCTAAGGTTGCTTTCTCTCTTTGGGATTAGAAAACTTTGCGAGAACCTGCGACTGCAGCAAAATTTCTTTTTCCGTTTTTGTTTGTTGACATTATTGACAGTACTTACTTACTTGCAGCAGTTACCTTTCTCTTGCATTAGGTACTACCGCCTCTGTAGCAGTGGTGATTTTATTATCGCTAGGCAAGCACAATATTTCATTTGTTAATTATTGACTTTTATCATATTGATTTCTAAGATTGAGGTCCTTCATCCAATCTCAGAATTGTTTATTCCAATCACAGATAATCCTGTGCTGTAGTCCTGTGTCTGTTTTGATGAATCAAAACATTTACACGAGTCAACAAATGCAAATAATTGTAGTTGCAGTAATGCATGTCTGTTTTTGGATGTATTACATTAAGGTTTCGCAATTGCGTTTTTAATATATGTGATGTATAGTTATGGCGATGAATAGCAGTAGAATCACAATATGATATTTTTCCCATGTTGTGCAACAGACCAGCAAATTAGATCTCCATTAAAGAATGGCTAGCTCTGTCAACTGCTGCTGACTCGCTATCAACCCTCTGCCCCCAGTTGTGGTCAGGTGAAAGGGGGTGTGCTGTCTTTTTTGTAGCAGGGCCCAGTGGCGAATCTCATTGCGGCTGTCAGAAAGAGAGCGGAGCTCCGCCTCACTGCCTCGCTGACAGACAGCTGGTCCACATCCATCCAGCAGGCCAGATAATGGATTGCTCCCCCGCCTGACCATTCAGCGCCCCACCGGCATACAAACACAGTGAAAGTGAAGCTGACCGCTGGGCTCTTTTGATCCCATCAGAGTCTGTTAAGGCCAACAGTGCATTATCTGGAGGGAAGAGTATGATTCTCAGCATTGGGTGCATTCGTACAAACTGAGGGATGTGTCTGTGTCTCAGTAAGCCATGTAGCCAGGGGATTTTACAGGTGCCATTTGAAGCAACTTACCGTTGCTTTTGTGCTGCTTTGACTTTATTGCATTGCAAGAACACCACTTGTTCTAAAGCACAGACAATGCACAGATCCGTTTCCTGACCACTGGCATCCCAGAAGTTTTCGAATCACAACCCAAGAGGTTCAGTTTGTGTAGATTTTCTTCCCTCCCTTCTTTTGGGAGTCAGATGTGATGACAAAGGGCACTGTAGTAAGGGATATGTTGACCTGAGGACACCAGAATTTACCAAATCCAATCTTCCTAGTTAAGTTAACAATTCTCCCAGCTACTGTTTCTAGGTCTGCATCTCAGTTAGATAAACAGTGTTGAATTTGCGTTTTTTTACTCAGGTTTCCCACTAGCTGGCACTTTTTCAATCACACAGTCCCATCTTGCATTTTTTCCTCTTGGGATTCCTGACATGCACACTGTGGCATTGCTGGGATTCAAACTCACAATCTTCTGATGTTGGGATGAGTTAGTAGACAGTTGCACTACATGAGATTTTGCCACTCTTCAAAGTTAAAACAACAGGTATTTTCTACAGTGTATTAAACATTTATGGACACAAAATCTGAGTTGCTTCATTTGTTCCTGAGTGATGCAATGCACTAAGCCATCAGCCCAACAGGAGGTTGTGAGTTTGAACCCCAGCAATGCAATAACAATCCATAAGTGTGTACCCAAGAGGAAAAGATGTCTGGTAGGATTGTGTAATGGAAAGAGTCCTGGTTAGTGGGGAAATTGAGTATAAAAACAAGTTTATTTTATTTGCTTAACTGAGATGCAAAGCTAAAAAAAATAAAAGAACTTTCGACTCAGCTAAGAAGAGCTGGGTGAACTCTTGTATCCTCAAGTTGAGTCAACTCAAGAAAAGTCATGTAATCAGTTACTATATCATTTTGAGTTGAGCTGACCCGTTATTTTTAACCGTGTGTCCTTTGACCACCAGAACAACAAGCACAGGCTGGCATTATTTGGAAAAAAACACTCTACTCTCCCAGACTTATAGGAATGAACAGGCAGATGTGCCACAGTATGTGAAATTACATAATGTAATAGGCTAGGACTTCATGTTGACAAAGATGCCTGAACAGAACCTGGCTAACCAAAACAAAGCAAAATTGGTACTGTTAATAAAAAGGTTATTATGAAATGTTATTGCCTTGTAGCTGTGATCTAGAATAAATGTAGTACTGGAAAGTTTTAGTTAATGAGTAACATAGATAATGTCTTTTGTCAGTCAGAGTAAGAGAAGAACCCCCCTTGCGATTTGGACTTTTTAGCGCTAGGCTATGGCTGATGTCATTAGTATGCTTTAGCCAAGTCATGGTGAGTTGTTTTGGTTTTAGTATTATTACTCTTTTAATTTTTACAATAAATTTTGCCTTACCACTTTGGAGGTGAGGTGCCACCTCTGAAGCGCCCAGCCAGCTACATTAAATTTTCAGTTGTACTAGTTGACAGACATGTTCAGAAGTTGCTTTATTCGAGTCCTGAGTCACTGGTGTGCAAGTCTGAGTCAAATCTCTGAGTTGTGAGTGTCAGTTGAGTCTTGAGTCTTTAGATTAGTCTTGTTATCAGCTGTTCTAAACCCTGTTGAAAGTCTGTCAGGTTCAACATGGCTTCAAATAAGAAGGCTATCAGTGTTGTAAAACCTTCACTTGGAATGACAGAACTGCAGTAAATGCAGTGTTTAAAGCATGAGTGCCCAATCTAGGTCCTGCAGAGTTAAGCTCCACCCCGATTCTAACACACCTGATCTAGATAATGAAGGCTTTCAGGAGAATCTGAATATTAGAGACAGGTGTTTTGGATTTGAACTCTCTAGGGTGGTAGATCTCCAGGACCAGAGTGGGCACCTCTGGTTAGAAGGAAAGAACAACTTGAAAAGACTGGTTAGTCTCTAGTTTGAATAGTAAATTCGTGTTTTTTTTCTCAGGCAAAAAAGTTCACAAGTCTTATGTCACAAGTGAATTAAATGCAAGTCCTTGGTGGAGTCAGTCAACATACAGCTTGAGTACAACTCAAAACTGAGTCACTGACTTGATTCCGCATCTTTGCTACTTGAACATTAAATAGTCAGTACAAGTGGTTGCAAAATCTTTGGTTTTAACGTCCAAATTTCAGTTCAGCTTTCTTGTCATTATCAGTACAGCATAACAAACTATCTGTGTTTGACTGTCTTAAACGAAAGCTGGAGCTGAGCAGAGCTAATTCTACTGCTGTATTAAAGTTATTTTAGCCAAATACCGACTATCACAATGTCCATCATAACACTAGAAACTCCATTATTACTTTTCAAAAAATAAAAACTAAACAAAAACTATAAAAGTTTTAAGGGTGTTAAAACTAACTGGAGCTAAACAGAATTCAAAAATCAAAATGAAAAAAAAAAAATATATATATATATATATATCTCGATGCATCTTTTTTTCTCCATACAGGATTTCTATCTTCCTACTGTCTGAGGACTTGGTAGTTTTAAAGCAAAGTCTTTGTAATGATACATAATGTAAATGCATTATGGATAATTACAAATACTTTGCTTTATATATCTAAAATATCTTTTATTAATAAATCAAATGGAAGTGATGTGGCAAGTGAACTAGAAGGCTCTCATTCAGAGACGCTGCTGCCACTCATCTGCGATAAAATGCGCTGTTACTCTGAAATAAGATCCAGTGGTAATGGGTGTATTTTCGAGACTGGACACTGAATCTTGGCTCCAAAGTGTGCAGCATAGCGCAAAATCCCTAGTTCTCAACGACTGAGAACAGACAGCAGGTCACATAGCACTGAAGTCTGGCCTTGCCAGTAGCGAACGACAAAACAGAGATTAAGACGAACATTTGGAGGACTTATTCGCATTTATAAGCAGCGTGGTTGGTTATATTGCAATGAGAGACTGTCTTTCTCTAAAAAGTTGCGAAAATGAACTCGCTTCTCTTTCGTATTTTCCGGTTCCACCTTAAATGGTGCAGCAGTTACATTCGGCGCCTAAGGCAGAATTTAAGGTGGAATGGGAAAATTAGAACGAGAAGCTGGCGAATGAGAATCGACTCCAGCCTCGTAAAACAGCCGGATGCTGAGACATTTTACAAGAAAGTATGTGCAAATTATTGTATTAAAACCATATAGTTTCCTGGACATGGATTAAGCCTGGCTTTGGACTACATTGCCATTGAACATTGTTGCCATTGGTGAATCACCATCAGAAAACCTTTTATTTTTTGGCTGAGGTTTTATCTTGGTCTGGGAAACTTGCCCATGAATGATTAAAGAATATAGTGTGCACATAAAGGCAGAGGTTTGAAGACCTCTGCATTATATCATCTAAGACTAATTGAATTGGCAGCTTAATGCAGTGCAGACATTTTCAAAAGTTGGACAGTTTAATTTAATGTTTAATCTATATGAGAATTGAATACAGAAAGTCACCTTGCAGTGGGCAGTGTGACAGTGCATAGTAAGATAATGTTATGGGGTCCAATAGTCAGTCGGTGATGGGAGGCAGTGAGAGCTCTCCTGACAGTGCTTCAGCTTTCATTAGACCTCCACACTGTGCAGCTCACAGACTAAGAGAAAGACACACAATGCCTCCATGATCTAGAGGGCCTAGTGGTTATTATACTGCTAACTACTAATCACTAATTATACTGTATACAATCGCTTACAAACAGTAAGGCTTTGAAGAAATAGACCGATGACAGGCATCTGTTAGACCTTGTGCCTATGCTGCTAGGCTTAGTATTAACTTTGATTGGTCATGTGCATTTAATTTCACATCACATAGACTTTTTGTGCCTATGGCAGGATTGTTTTCAAAAAGAAATGATTCCTCTCATTCCTCTTGCTATTTACCAAAACCTTTACATTGGCAAAGGATTCTGCCAGACATATTTATGCATAAGGTTACCATTGCTGCGTCAAGGTTATTCATAACATTATCAAGAGCAAAGAAAAATCTTTTAAAAAAGGACAAATCTACAAGCAAGCCTAATTCTGTTCAAAATAATTTGCAGGCCTATTTATGAAATGTAAGTACAATTATGCAAAGCCCTTTACCCCTTAAATGGCTGTATTTATTGATACACTAATAAAAATATGGATTGAATATATCATGATTTTCTAATTTATGTGTGACAAATAGTAATAATTCTAATACTGAGCTGGCAGTCAGTTTTGGAAGCCTTGTTTGCAGTCTTTTTTTCTGATACAGCATAGGCAAATTAATTTTGTAGTGTAAGCAGGTTATTGCCTCCTTCTCAACGCTGTTAAATTCTATTTCTGCAGGCGTGAACATGGAACAAATGTCACAGCTCTGCCTAAAATGAATCATAAAAATGAAACTATACTCAAAAGGCAGATAGTGAAAAGAGAGAATACAGTTTTTTGGCTTTCCTTGCTTAGGGAAATCTGAAATGCAGTTAATGTGTATTATAGTTCTTATTCCCACTGTCATCTTATAGCAGGAATCTAATGTATCAAATACTCAACAAGTGATGACAGCTGGTTGTGTGTGAGCAGTATCACAAGATTCAAAGTTTCTGCTGTGTTTTAACAAGTGTTTTTTTCCCATCTGTTTGCTTTTTTTACTCCCCAGAAAAGATACTGTGTCTCCCACCATATTACATTAAATCAGTATCTTATAAAATAAATGGAAACAAATGTTATGACATACGTTCAAAACTTTATGTATATTTTGTACAGTAAGATTCAAGGTTGCCTGCCACAGTCTTTACCTATAGCAGTCATAATTAACCTTATGAATGAACAGTATTCTTAAAATGACACTTTTAGGAAAATGATCCTCAATGTAGTTTCACTTACAACTAAACATTTCTCTTTGTCTTAGACTCATCCAATGAGAGCCAGGGAGTTTGAGGTTCTTCTTTTGTGGTAACTGCAGACGTCAACCTCCCTACTAACTGCAGAAGTTGAGGGGAAGCTCCCGGCATGGACGACACAGACCCCCGGGACCGAACGTCCCTGATGAAGGGAGCCAAGGACATCGCCAAGGAGGCCAAACGGCAAGCCGTCAAGAAGGTTAACAAGGTTGTGGACCGGGCCTCGGATGAGTACTCTCACAGCCGTGCCTACCACCGTTTCCAAGATGATGATGATGCTGACTACTACAGCCAGCCAGAGGGAAACTATGAGGGCGATCACGCCAATGATGAAGAAGGCTCCAGTGATGCCACTGAAGGCCATGATGATGAGGACGAGATGTACGAGGGTGAATACCAAGGGATCCCTTCGGACTCCAAGCCTGGGGATGGACAGGTGGCTCTGGGGCAGCCTGTGGCGGACGGCCTGAAGGACCGGAGGGAGCTCGAAAGTGAAAGGCAGGCGGATGAGGAGGAGCTGGCACAGCAGTATGAGCTGATTATCCAGGAATGCGGGCATGGGAGGTTTCAGTGGCAGCTCTTCTTCACACTGGGACTGGCGCTCATGTCAGATGGGGTGGAGGTTTTCGTGGTAGGCTTCGTTTTGCCCAGTGCTGAGACAGACATGTGCGTGCCTGATTCAAGTTCTGGCTGGCTAGGTAAGTGTCACTGCATGATAAGCTAATACATGGTGCACTGAAAGTCAAGGTTTAGGTTTGCTGGCCCACCATCAGCTGCATGGCATTTGCCACACAAATGTTTACAGTACAGGATTTAAAAAGGTTTATGTACTGGTAGCGAACCTGAAATCAAAATCAATCTTTTTTTTACTTTGTTAATTCATGTCCCTAGTCATGTTAAGCGTGATTCATGATAAATTATCATTTAAAAGACAGATTTGTTTTCCCATAATCTTCATTCTAGAGGAACTTTCAGAGTCAGAATTGTTCACAGTGGTGGTGACAAGAACCAGACGTCTGAAGAGTTGAATGCCTCTAAAAGCTACCTTGCAGAGAGTCATTGAATTAAACGGTTTGAATCCATTTCCTGATGCATAAGACATTGTTTTATGATTGTTTTGGCCTAAGATTTTGTCCTAAAACATATTTTTGTAAATTCACTGGAGACGTATATGCAAGCTTTTGTTAGGCAAAATAGTCCACAAAGAGAATTATTATTATTATTGTTATTTTCAGATTCATTACTATTTTACCATTATTAACATTACATATAGAAGACACATGTAGGCTCACTGGTGGTTTTAGATAGTAGATAAAGGGTAGATATTTGCGACCCCATAGATCCTGTCACTGCCACTGTAAAAAAAAGTCCTCTTCTTTCTCAGAAATAACCATTTTACATCAAACTACTGCAAATTACCTTTGTTTACATCTCAGTGACTGACTTGCACAGAAATTTGAAAAAACTGGTGGAATTTCCCATTAAGTACTGACAGTGTCCACAACTTGCTCAAAAAACAATATTGTGATCAAATTTATCATAATAACAATAAGATATTGTCATATTGCCCACCTCTAACCCCAGTATCTCCTGGAGAGGAAACTTTGCTGAAAATTGATTTGGTAATAAAAATAATTAGTATTATTATAAAGAGTTGGTTTAAGAATCTTTGTTTTCATTTGTTGCCCAGTATCTTATGTGGGGGTACTGATTTTTCAGATGGTCAGTAAAAGTTTGGGGTGAATTGGTCACTGGCATTTTTTCTTTACTGTAGTGTCATCAAATCAATTAAATTGCCTTATGTGTGTCACGAGTAAATCAATCAACCCTGAGCCAATCTATTTATCTCTCTCTCTCTCTCTCTCTCTCTCTCTCTCTCTCTTTCCTCCACATCCTTGTCTGTCTGGGGAGAGCCCTCTGGGCATCGCATGGCACGCTCTGCTTCCTTCTCTTTCATGCTCCCTCTCTCCCTTTGTCCTTCCGCTGTCAGTGGCTTTTAAGGCATAATCGCACGTGGCCACCCGTGACCATCACTGCAGCCTGGCCTTTGAGATCTGAGATGTTCATCAGATGAGGAGGGCTTTTCAGGTCCTCGCCCAAAGGGGGCAGAAGTACTGGCTAAAACGTGACTAATTTCTTGTTCGTTCCTCCATGATGTTGTTTTGTACTCAATGATAGGAGAGATCTGTAAAACTAGCGGAGCGTTTTAAGGAAAAAAGTAGATCTGATTCTCCCTAACACTCTCTCACTCTCTCTCACTCTCTCTCTCTCTCTCTCTCTCTCTCTCTCTCTCTCTCTCTCTCTCTCTGGCTCTCCTTTTTTCTCTTCCCTTTTCCAATTTTTTCTTAACAAGCTCTCCAGGGAATCTAATCTTTCTGTTACAGTGAAGTGTGTTGAGTCATAATTGTTGCACTCCTCTGACGTGATCCTCTTCATTTGTGAATGTCTGTGTAGTGTCTCCATCACAGTGCTAGTCTCTTAGAAACAGCATGAATGGGAAAATTGTTGTATGTTTAATGTATGGCTACAAAAGATGGTCTGACCTCTTTCTTTGATGAAGTGCCTAAAGGTCACTCAGAGTCATGAGTGACCTTGGGAACTGCAGGGCAGTTTGGATGAGCGTAGTTAATTGCACCTATGCATCTTCAAAACAATTGTGCACTAAAGAACAACTGGCGTAGACAAAAATTAACAAAAAGTCCTAAACTGGTCTCATTATTTACCTGCTAATAGATACATTATATGTCCAGAAATATCCAGACACTACTTCTAAGTAGTGAATTGAAGTACTTTAAAGTGCACACATTACTGACACCAGCGTTCAGTTACACACACACAGTATGTACACATCTCCACAAAAAAACACTGCCAAAGGATGGGGATGCTCTGGAGCAGCTGCACATGAGCCTAAGGTCATCATGTCCAGTGCCAGGCGAAGGTTAGAGGGTATAAAGCTCCCCAGCAATGAGCTTTAGAGCAGTGGAATTGTCGTCTCTAGGGTGATGGAGCACAATTGAATACCTTTGGGATGACTTGGAGCGCCAACTTGGGGTTGTAATTGAAATGTATAAGTGAATTACTTTATAACCTACACACTCTCTTCCTATCTCACATTTAGCAGGCTAATGTTACAATCTCATAAGTCTAGTAGATTTTAAAAGAGGCCATACATAAAAAAAGGCCTAATGCCAACCCAACCACCAGACCAAGACAGCATGAACCCAGATAAGATGGCAAAATATCAACGTCAATCAGATTTGAATTGCCATTCTTTTAAGGGATCATAGTAAGATATAGTAGATAGTAGTAGATATAGTAGATAAAGTTGTTTATGTTAGCCATCTACTGTATTGATGCATAATAGTAAGATATAATAAGAGGAGAAAAATGGACTCAGGGGAGAGCTAATGCCCAAAACCAGCTAGAAACAAAATCAAACTAACTTATGTTGGATGAAGAGAAAAATACAAACAACTACCCTGACTCCTTGAACCAAACCAGGAGAAAACAGCAGCAAACAAAACAGGGCACTCACCCCCTTCTTTGAAGTACGAGAGTTCCATGATTCATTATAAGAAACACTCAGATGATTTTATTATTATATATGTTCTTGTTTTAAAATAACAGTTATTTTCTAACGTCATCTAGCTAACCCACAAGTCAACAAGGGTTGGATGCTGTGCATGCTGTGATGTACAAAGATGTACAGCAGGATTTTTTGGAACATATCCAAACTGTATCAGAACAGATTACATAAAACTAAATGTTTTGACCAGAAATTTTGTAATAATCAGCATCAAATCACCAAATTTCACACATTTGCATGGTTGTATCTGGCTCAGTTTTGCAGTTCCTTATATATTTTCCACATCAGAAATCATTGGGCTCTTTTGGCTAAATGCAATCAAATCCTTACAACAATGTTCCAACATCCTGTGTAAAGCCTTCTGAGTAGAGTAGAGGCTGTTACTGCAGACTGTGGGGAGCAACTGTTGTTGATTTCAGAACAAATATTGTATGAACAAGTGTAGAATAACTAGATTCTGCAGCATCCAGAATTTCAATCTAGCTAATTTCTACCATCATCTGCAGCCTCTAATGAGCTCTCATTAGTTGTGTAATTCTGCTCAGTGTTGTTTAAAAAAATATTCTAGATCAGCCTTTATGCCAATAAACATGGCTTTAAGAGTCTTGCAGTGTTGCAGTGGAAGTTAGTGAGAAGAAGATGCTGTCATTAAGTTCTCAGTAATTTTTGCAGCCCCTAATCAGCATTCTAACATTGGCGCTCACTTACACCAGGTCCGGGACAAAACTCTCCGTCATCCACCTTCTCCCTCCCTTCCTACATTTACATTTACATTTACATCATTTAGCAGACGCTCTTATCCAGAGCGACTTACAAAATGTGCTTTGTCTATCCAGAGAAAGAATCTTCGCTAGCTACCAATAGGTTAGAGAGAAAGCCAGTCCTCCCTCTCTCCCTCCCCCAACTCTCCCTGTCCCCTGTCTCTCTCGGTCATCTCTATCTCTCACACACACTCATACACACAGTGTATAAATCCTGAGTTCGTCCACGACTCTATGTAATGCATAGCAGGCACCAATGAAAGAAGAGTGCAAAGATCCAGATGTCCAGTACACATAATGCCAGTTTGCTTTTGGTATTGTAAAATATTGTCTATATGATTCATTCATTCATTCAGTATTTTATACATTGTAGGAAAAAATCCAGCTGTATATGCAACATCTATGTCTGCTGGTAGTTCTAGTAGTAGTAGTGTTATTATGCAGTAGCTTTCTAATGTGGGTCTAAGGACATCAAGGGTAACCTAGTGGTAAGTGACAAAAAGAGAGTGAGAGCGAGAGTTAGGTGTTTGGATGAATTTGGTGATTGTGATAATTGGTGATAATGCTGTTTGAATTACAAAATGCAGTTAGGGCACTAACAGGACTGCATGGGAATCTGCAAAGCTTAGAATGGGTTTATGGCCAAAAGGGGGACTGCAGATAGGACGAAGATAATGATGAATATGACAATGAAATTAATTATGAGGATAGTAATAATGAATAATAAGCTTTCGTATGGAACCTTTTGCACATTTACAGACCAGCAGAAAGAAGCTGAATTAAAAAGCACTGCAAAAATACATGAAAAGAAGGAAATATTCAATAATGGAAATGTAAAATAAGTATGTCATAATGAGAATTACTGATAAAACACAATGTTGATATTCTCAAAGATTATAATAGAAAGCATACATTTTGTACGAATAATTATTTGGGATGTATCGAAATTTGAATGGTAATGAAAATGAGAAATACTGTTTCACTGTTTCTATGAGGTGCATAGAAAAGTCATTTATAATCTGTGCTCATGTCAAGTATCAATAGGGGATACAACGCTCAATGACTTCTCCGCTACAGGTACGATACCACTTGATAAAACAACTTCCTGCACAATATGCAGAATAAAGCAAAACAACAGAAGCAGAAAAGAAAGTCCCGGCAAGCACTCTGATGCCATCTGTAGCCACAGTTTTTAAATGATGGAAAAATTCGCAAATGACTGTGCCAGAGAGCGAAGTATAACTAGAGAAATAATGGAATTCATTGCCTTGGGTGACCGTTAGATTTCGTTGTTATGTAAACTGTTTTTATTTATTGTAAGCTTTTTCGGTTTCCAGTTTGGTTTTTAGCCTGATGTGGCGGAATTTTGGTTTTGATTTTGGTGCACCCCTAATAATTTGTGTATATGACAGTGAGAATAAAAGATGGCTAAGTATGGATCCCTGTGGAACACCATAGAAAACAGCATAGTTTTTTATACATAGGCATTAAAGTTAACAAATTATTCTAGTTGAATAAGCATTGGAGCAGATTCAGAAAGACCGGTGCGGCTGTCAGGTTAGTTGAGAAATTTTCTGTTTTTCTGTAGTGTTCCATAATTTAATAGAGAATCATATTTGGCAAGGACAGAGCAGAGAAAGAGGGAAAGGCTTTTATAAGAGAGCATGAAAGTAACAAGGAAATCCCATTCGGTTCCTTTTCTGGATTCTGCTGTAGAAAATCGTGACTCTCCTGTTCTCCTTAATGTACAGGCACTCTCAACCTCTTTTCTCATGCACCACTGTAAGAAACGTTTTCATTATCTAAGTCCTTCTTTGCTAAATTAAGAAATTAACATTAATTTGAACGACTACAGGCAAATCAGTCAAACCAAAAAGAAAATTGCTGCATCATACAATTAGGATAATGGACTACGCTTTGAGCAAGTGTGTTCCATTAATGCTGACACAGAGCCAGAAGGCTCTTTTTCTTTTTTCTTTTACTCTTTTTTTTTATCATCTACATCTTATCCTTGATCTTTCTTTCTCTCTCTCTCTCTTTCTCTTCGGCTGCGCAGTTGTGCTGTATAGACCAGAGGCAGCTGAGCATGGCTAAACTGCAGTGAAATCACACCACTGCAGAGATTTCAGCTCCTGCACGTCTCCTCTGTGTGTGTGTGTCAGAGCCTAAGTGATACGAATACCAGCTGCTTCTGAATATGTGCCATCTCGCAGTCTACAGTTGAATCCCTGAACGTCTTCATTTCTGTATATTTGTGCTGATGATTCTAGAACATTATCAAAAAAATAGGGCAAAGTCCAAACGTAAATAAGAGTAAATACTCCTTTCACTGTAGATCAGTGACTCCTTATCTAACACAAAGCCAACCCCACTGTGGAGGTCAATAATGTAAGCAAACTGTTGGTGTAAACACTGTCTTTTATTTGATAGTCTTGCCTGAATTAGCGATTGTTTTGAAGTAAAACCATGAATAATACACAGCTCCTGTAAAACAGTTCCACTCCCAGTCAGGAGCATCAAAGCATGAAATCAGAAAAAAGGCTGCGATGCAGCTTGAACATTTCCGCCGCTCCCCGGCGTTCTCTCCAAGGATCTGACAGTGCTGAAAAATAATGCTTCTCTTCTCTTCTCTTCTCTTCTCTTCTCTTCTCTTCTCCTTGTTTTCTATACTTCATACATTCTTTTTCTTCTTTCCTTCTTGTTTACTATATTTCTCTTCTCCTCAGTCTAGTTTACTTTCGACATGCTTTCTCTTCTCTTCTCTTCTCTTCTCTTCTCTTCTCTTCTCTTCTCTTCTCTTCTCTTCTCTTCTCTTCACTTCTTAATTTATCTTTGTTACTTGTCATAAGGTACAAATGTCTGAGGCTCATTTTTTTGTACAGCTGTTGTACAATAAATTTTTGGGATCATGAACAAGAGGGTGAATCTTGTTGCTTCATGTGTGCCTGTATTTACATTTATGTGAGTGAGTCCTGTTTTCTTTCCTGTTGCAAGCTGTTTTTTGCTTCTCTCAAGTTTGTTTCTCCATTTGGAACAGTTGCCATCTATCCGTAGAGCACTCCCCATGTGGTTTTCAGCAATGTGGAGTTGATGATCTGGCCCTTTAGGTCCTGCTGTGAAAGCACAGTCACTTTGTGAAAGCTTGTCCCCTACAGGCATCCGTACTCCCTCTCTCCCTGCAGTGTCACAGTTCGCCTCACCAATGCCACTGCCTGGCATTTACCAGCAGACTCCAGTGCACTCTACCATTCTACAGCAAGATGTGTTCCCTTCACCTCACGTTTCTGAGCACTCCTTGTGGTTATTTGATCAGTTTAAAGAGACCCCACTTTGGCTCAAGTTTTAAAATGCTTATATTCTGACCGTTCCTTTTTCGTCAGTGCAATAAAATAGCATAATACAGTTATTTGCTAATCTATTGGGTATGATATTGTATTTCACAAAGTAAACCTGATTACCTGCATAGTTTTTAATATGATAAGTTGTTCCAAACTGAAAAAAGAAACCATGGTCATTTATGTAAACATTTTTGAAAAGCTGAGTTTCCTGAAACTTTTGCCAGATAATGTATCTAACATAAATGTATGAACTATAAGCAAGTGGGCATCTTCTCAGCGTTACATGCTGGATATGTTAGATACTCATATTTTGACAGATGTTTTGAGATGCTCTTAAGAAGCATTGTTACATGATTGGTCAAAAAATTAAGCATTTCTGTTCTGGCAAAACTGCTGACCAACACATTTAATGGAGACAGAACAGAAAAATAAAAATCACTCAAAACAGTACAATGTCCTGTTTTTTCAGTTATTCTGCTGTGTTGCTACCACTGGGGCCTTTGTAGGGAAGGACTGGTGTACTGAGGGTGCATTTAATCCATATTTCTGAATACCTGTAGGAGTAATACCACTAGCTTTGTCTAGACCTCATGCCTACTTAACATCGCTTAGTAAAAGAATTTGGCAAATTGTGTAACTTGTATACACAGTCATTTTGTGGTGCTATTTGACACCAAAATGCTATTATAATTCATGTACAGTTTGCATTTATTAATGATTATTTGTCTCATTTTGCCCATTTTTTCATGTCTAATTTTGAACAACATCAAATCAGAACAACATGATATAGGTTGACAAGAACTAAAAATGTCTTCTGAGACTAGGTCCACCTATTCTGTAACATCTGTGTCCTCTAGTATGCTAGCAGACGCAGCGCAATGCGGCAGATTTTTGCCCTAAAATCGTTGTTCCATCGCAGGCGTGTTTCAGTGAAGGAATGAAACGTTTTTAATGAAATGTGTATCCCCTGAAGAGACGAGGCTTTTCCACGTCACTGATTCCCTTCTCACTTTCACACGCTGAGCAGTGCTTGCTGCTGTAACAGCAAAAAAAAAGGCAGTTTGCTGCCTCTTAATAGTTGCTGTGTTTGTTCTACAGAACAGACTGTGTATGCTTGGTCATATAAAAAGCTGCAACTCAGACATTGGGCTGGATTTTACTGTCTGAAATATTTTGGGGATTTCGTGATCGTGATGCTGTCACCCATGGCATAAAAGAGCACTTCCCGATCAGTTGTTAAACAAGGACTATTAGAGATTTAATTTGTGCTGCACATAGATTTTTTTGGAATATTCTGAAATGTGCTTATAGTGTTTTTTGGTGTTAATCAACTGATCGCAGAACCTGTGTGTATTTACCCATTACAGTTAGACTGTGGAAAGCTTTCTCTGCATACACACTGCGGCATTCTCATTCTGTCCCTGAGCAAGGAGAACCCTACATGCTCTGCACATTAATTTAAAATCTGTTTTATAAGGAAGCCTGGTAGCCAAGGACTTAGTGAACCATCTGCAGAATTGTATCAAATACTTTACTATATATTTCTGCATCTCAGCAGTGATTATATGATGTAGTATTTAAAAACATGCTGAATTTTCTTATTCAGCACACAAACCTTCAGAAGTCTAGAGTTATCATTTTCCTTTTGCAATACAGTTGCAAAGTTATGTAATTAATTGTATTTGACTCACGTTTTGCATCGACAAGTTTAAATCTGTGCTTCTTTTTTCTGTTTTTTTGTTGTCAGACAGTAACTAATCCATGGCAGAAATGTGCACAACTACCATTTTATCAATTTCAATTCATAATAAATGTTTCTTACGAACACGAATGTGGTATGCATTGAAAGTTTTGAATGCATATGATCGACAGAGTTTCTCCTCTTGTTCTAATGATCTATGAGGAATAATTAACATAAAACTAAACTACATGTACATTGATTAAGCTTTATTACTTACTAGGGAGGATTTTTGTTCTTTTGGTGGACAAAATGTTAAACTCCCTTTAATCTCCCCAGCTTCACTCAAAGTTACCAGAGTGAACTGAATGAACTGTTGATTGATTTTTTACTAGGTAAGTTTTCTCAGTGTTCTTGATTAGGATTAAGATGTTAAACCAGGGACTTTTGTGGTAGATTAAAAAATTAGATTGGGTATACACAGTCCAGGGTTGAACTGCGTGACTTATAGCCATTTTCACATTACATAGCTTATTTAGAGTATCCGCCTCCTTTTTCAGCTAATGGAATTCTGCTTGGGGTAACCGTTAAAGCATTCCAGGGTATCTATGTTTTGTATCTGCGTCCTGCTCAGCCATTACAAAACTGTGTTTAGCAGCATTTACTTAAAATTTAAAAGCATTTATGAGTACATGCTGTGACATAGTTCATTCAGACTGTGGTTCATGTTGTGCTGAATTAAAGATGCTGATGTGATTTATTAAAGAGGCTTCCAAAAAAAGCTTTTCTGAAGGATTGTGAAATTACTGGCATTTGTAAAGCTTTAATGGGTTTAGTTACTCTATATAAAAAGGCTACCATGTGCTTCAGACCTTAATTTTCAATCACCATTTGTTTTGCACTTTAAATAACAAAAAGATCTTCAGGGGAAAATACCAATCCTCTTTAAGATGCATTGGGGTTGTAATTTTGAGACTTGAATAAATGAATAGCTATCAGCAATCCAAAAAGAATGGAAAAAGGAAGACTTACTTACACAGAAATTCTTAGTGTGTCGTGTACCAAACCAAGCAAAAGAGACACTTTCCAATGCTCTGCTGCTTCCTGAGTATCATTTCTTCTATCTCTGTATATTCCCCCCGCCTGAGGCGCATGCACCTTCTGTCTCTGCTTATAAACTCCCTCTCTTTTCTTTTCCTCTTCCTTTCTTCTCCTAGGCAGCATTGTATACCTGGGGATGATGGTGGGGGCCTTCTTCTGGGGGGGCATGGCAGACAAGGTGGGCCGACGGCAGTGTCTGCTCATATGCATGTCCACGAACGGCTTCTTTGCCTTCCTGTCCTCCTTCGTGCAAAGCTATGGCTTCTTCCTGCTCTGTCGCACAATAGCGGGCTTTGGGTGAGTCTTCTGCACCCCTACTCTCCAACCCCCCACTCAGCTTTTATAACACACGGTTTCTCCAGCTTGATGTTAATGGAGCGGCACATATCTTCAAGAGCATTTAAGAGAAAGTCTGTCTTTTTTGGTTTATGGGAACAATCCATACATTAACATACAACCGAGAAGGATAGCAATTAAATGAGGGTGAGCAGCCATTTGAGTTGATTGTTCTCTACATCAGCTCATTATTTATTTTGACCAGAAGCGGATCTGGCGTCATCTTAATGCATTTGGTGAATTGACCTCAGTTGCATAAGCAAACAAATGGCATTAAATATATCTTGATAACATATCGTTGTTGTTGTAAAAAAAACTCTGTATCTCTCAAGTGGTAACTTTATCAGAGAAGGACAAAAATGGGCCTTATTCACAACCGTTCTTAAGAAGAAATTTCTTCTTTGAACCCACTTACACAGGTTTTTTTGAAGATTCTTTTATGAAGTGTTTTCTTATTTCGGAATTGTTCTTAGGTAAAAACAGAATCTACATACACTCAAGAGCACAAAGATTCAAACAACTCTGCGGTTTAAGACCACGTCATGAATGTGACATAGACTTTTTCTTAGGAGTTTTCTCAACAACAAATTTGAGAAAAAACTTGGGAAATATTGATAAATGAGGCCCATTGTTCTTAATATCGATTAATGTAAGTTAAATTTCAACATTTCTGTTGGTCCAGTTTGTGAATGTTTGTTCATGAAATGTTCACTCAACATAAAGGGCAGATTTTTTTTCAGACGGTTTAGAAATATTGAGTTATAAAAAAACTCAAAGTAGATGTGCTAACAAACATTGTCTGTTTCTTTCTGTACACTGGTTTCTGGACGTTGTCATGAGAAATGATCCAGTAGGGATCTTTTATCAACTCTGCTCTAAACGAAAATGCCTTCTCTTTGCTTTAGATAATAGTCTTTTTCGGACAGACAATACATTACATCTGCCCAGATCGATAGCCGCTGCAGTGGCGCTTTCATGACTCCCACAGCTTCTGTCACTGCTCTGTCCAACTGCCAGTGGATCTGTGCTTAAAGCACTTGGCTTCTGGTTAATGGGATTGTTGTAGTGTCTTTGAACATATTTTATATATTGATGATGTGTAAAAATTATGCCACACACTTTTAAGACCCAGTCAGGATTTTTTTTTTAGTGGTGAAGTACATGAAATTGAGGTCAGCCTGCTCAGTCTGTCTATATCAACTGAATGAATCAAGATATAAATCGCCTGCTGGATAAATAATGATCATTCAGAATTTATTCAAAATTTAAAAATGAAAGAACACACGATTTCTGCCACATATTTAGCCAATCCAGGTAGAGAAAAAAATCGCCTGGAACTAAACATCTAGATTGAGGTTGCTTTTATACGGGATGGCATCAGTTGATTCAAAGTGTGCACTAGAGGGTCTACCAGTGCATTGTTGTTGGAGGTGTTGTTGTGCTACTTATTATTTCTACTATTTAAAACATCTTACCCTCAAGGAATTCTAAACAAATGACTGCAGCCCACATGGTAAGATAGTCTACACCTGCATAATAATATAATAATTTAATTCACTATTACTGAATTATGTGTGCTTTTAATCTGCAGGGAGCTTGTTTAATTGTTATTTTGATATTTTGAAAATGGTCAGACCCCAAGTGGTATCAGTAAGTTAGTAACCCCTTCTGTAATTGACTTTAAGGCAGCTACACATGAACTATTTGGTAACTACCATGAAACTAATATGTAATTTGATAAATTATGTGCATGTCCACATACAGGGGCTTGCATTTTAAGATGTTATTTTAAGATGGCAATCATTTATGCAAAATAATTTCTATTTAACAAATATATACCATCTTTTGGGGGGAAAAATATGTGCAGTGTTAAGGGGAAAAGTCTACAAATGTTGTAATCTGTCACTTCCATGCCTACTTCATATTCTCTGAAATGTACAAGGAGTTTAGTTTGGTTAGAGGAAAGAGTTGCATGAATTTCCAGAAAACTTGATGTTAAGAAGAAAGTCTTTTCATTTTTAAAGATGGTCTGTTTTTTAAAGCTGACTCTGTAGAACAAAGATAGTCCCTTTGCAGACAGACTGACTTAGGTACTGAAACTATGAATAGAATTTGAATAACTTCCTCAAGGTTCTTCTATGCCTTTTATCCTAAGGCCGTTCTTGAATGCATGTCATGACTTCAATCATAGCCCAAGCCATGAGCTTTGCTTTGTTCATTTGATGTTTTCTTTTGTTCATTTGATCTTTTATAGGATTGGTGGAGCAGTACCCATTGTCTTCTCTTATTTTGCGGAGGTGTTGGCAAGGGAGAAGAGAGGTGAACATCTCAGCTGGCTCTGCATGTTTTGGATGATAGGGGAGATCTATGCTTCAGCCATGGCCTGGGCTATCATACCTCACTATGGTAAGCAGAGAGGGTTCATAGACAGTTCATGGATTCACAGCTTTCCCAGCTGCTTTGTCTTCAGTGCATCGTGGAAATGTTTGATATTAGTTGTTGTCCATCATGGCTACCATTAAGCAATGTTAGACAAGCCTTAAACTGATGATGCCTACAAATGCTACACTCAGACAGATCAGTAGTGTCTATCAAATGAAGCAGCACAACCTAGACTGACATAAGGATGTAACACCTTCAAGAAAATCCTGTAGTGGCTGGTCAGGGCCGCTAAAAACAAAGTTCCTGGCAACGCTACGTTGGGTTACCAGCCACGCGACCTGGCTAGCAGTGACGAGTGTAAGCGTGTGCAGCCGCGGAGCTTTAGGTTAAGTGATTAATGTGTATGGAACACACTGCAGGGATATTTAAAGGATAAAGGCATTCCTGTGGGGGGAGGCACAGCACTATGATTTATGAGGACCTCAATGCCGGAAATAAGCTGCACTCATCAGTAAAGAAACTAAAGAAAGGAGGGGAGGGGGGATGGTGGTGTCTGGATATGAAAGAAAGAGCCTTGCAGCCCGAATGGCTCTAGTGTCAGAGCGTTCTGTTTTTTTCCCCTTTTTTTGGTTCACAATGATTGGAGTGTAATGAGCTTTTTCTCCTTGCCTTGTGAGACAATGTGCAGGCAGAGCGTGATTTATGAATGACCCGCAGATAGTCTGAGGAAGATGCAGACACACAGGCAGTCAGCTTGACTAACCTTAAAGCAAAATTTTGCTGCTAATTTACACAATTTCCCCCTTACCCCAGTAATTCTTATCATGTATGTAGTCGAACATATTTAGTGTCCAAAATTTGCTTCTTTGGGTTTCACTAGAGCTACATGGATAATGTAGCTAACAAGTAATGGAAGCTTATACCCATCAGTTAGCATCAAGCAAATTCCATGAATTTGAAGTAGGCTTATATATGTGGTTTTTGACACTGTATAACATGCTACTGTGAAAAAAGCAGGCGAGCACATACATTGCATAGCAAAGAATAGTAGTAAAGCAAAGTTAAACTTTGCATGTTTTTATAAATGTCATTGTTTTTATAGGTGCCACACTAGACCCAGTTTGAGGTGGGCTACATGATTTTTAGCCAGATGTGAACCCCAATTTGCCCCTTCCGATAGATTTTCACAATCTTTAGCATTTTTCAGGCCGGAAAGGTCTGGTAGTGTCAGAACAGAAATGAGTCACTCCTTAGCCTTTGAGCTCTGAAGTGATCGGAGGTTCTCCAATACTTTCAGGCATGTTTGATATTTACAGCTCAAAATGTTTGCGAGTCCTGTACAATGAAATGGTCAGTGATGAATGATTCAAGCAATAGCCAGTGACAGAGTGAGGAAAGAGTAAAAAGGTGGACTGCAGAGACAGAGGAACTGCTTAAGTTTAAGAAAATAATCACTCTCTTTACAATTTCAAGTCAGCAGGCAGTTTGTAGTAAAATATTTCTCCAGCTCTGGCTGTGATATGTGTTTTAACCCCATATTCATTCCCAGTTTGTGTCGTTGCTACACTTTTTCTGCGTACATAAAAACACAAGTAGGCGCAGTCTGGTTTAGCTTTGTTTGTATCCCATGATAACACAGGGAGATCTGGGATTTTGAGTGCTTGTGGTAGACGAAACTCGTCATGTGTGTTGTACCTTCTTTTTGCCTTATCTAATTATGTAGTGTGTAGGTCCGTATGACAAAGTAACAAGAAGGATGGGTGTTAATTGTGTTATGTGCTCTGTTTTCCAAATCTGTTAGGATACATGTAGTGTGTGCCTAACTTTAGAAATGGAGATTGCACAATGCTATTAGGTGTCCATGAGCTTCCATTACTTGTTAGCCGCATATCTTCAGTACAAAACTTAAGAAGCAAACCTCACACACCAAACATGTATCGACTGATAGATAATTTCTGAGTAAAGACAAATTGTGTGCATTTGATTTTGAAATCAGTTGTACCTTGTTAGTTTGTCCTGTTGTGTCTACATTTTGAGACCTCATTGCAGACTATGTTTCACCTCCACCTACCACCGAAAACACTTAGCTAGCTCAGAGACTCTTCCCAGTATTGTGTTTTATTTGAAAAAATGTTTGAGCTACAGAAGGAAAATACATTTTAAGTCAAACTATCATTGAGTGTATCACGTAAGTGTATTAAGCTGCGTCATTCTCATTGAGTATAATGAGAATCAATGGGAAATATCCAGGGGCTCAGTAAAGAGGGGTGAATACATAGTGATGGTTTGGTCACGGTTGGCCACTCTGGGCTCCCTCAAGCGCTTCCCATCCCTGTTTTATTACAGGACACTCATATTCCTTTGTCTTCTTTTCTCTGTATCCTTTCTCTCTTTTGTTCTTCCCGTCTCTTTTTCATTCACACCCCCTATCATGTACTCTTTCTCGACTCTCTCTCCCTCCTCATTCTGTCTCCCTCCCCGTTTCTCCCTCTTAGAGTGGGACTACGTGCCTAGCATGCTACCGATTGCTCCGCTTGGTTTTGAGATCTACTGAAGAGCAGCAGTAGCCAAAAGCTGAGTAACAGCAGAAAAGCTCTATGAGTTTCAAACTATGAGGCATCACGCTAGTGGAGAATGGAAAGAGTGAGAGGCGTGGCGGGTGATGCATGGAGATGTGTTCACCTCTTCATTTGTCTTAAACAGTTCATTAGATCCTCCCTGCTGGTTACTCACTTCTCCTGAGCTGCTGGGAGCCGTCTAAGTAGCACAAGCAGCGCTGCAGTGATCCTACCTACAACAGCTTAATACAGTGTTTTGGCTAGAAATCAAATTTACGTAGTTTTACACAAAATGTAGTTTAGCATCAGTGCATAATAGTAAACTGGTAGGGTGTAAGCCTCCATTATTTGGTAGCCACATAAACTTCGTAACTCCAGTGTAAAACAAAAGAAGCAAACTTCAGACAGCAAACAGGTCATCAAATGCATTTTGAGTATTATTTGTCCCCGCCTGCTGGTACACAGTAATGCAGTCAGACGTCAGAAGATGTTTTAGAGGTGGGCAAAAGTTACATTTTGATCAAAGATTATGGGAATTTTGTGTTTTAAATGTTATGATGAATTAGGTTTAATATGATCAGGGGCATGAACTAACAAAGAAAAAAGGTCCATTTTGACCTCTTTTAAAACATTTAGGTTGACTTTAACTCTTATGGATACTTGTATATGAAAAGCACATGAATATCAGAATAAATTTCCCTGTTCGTTGACATCCATATGCACACATGTACACAGACTTCCACTCCGTCATTTTGATGATCAAACGCTCGCACTTTCAAAAATACTGAAAATGCTTTCCTGTGAAATATCCATCGCTTTCAGCTGCAGGCAGGGGTTGAGGTGCAAGCTGCCGTTCATTGATTTCACATTAGAGGGGTTTTGGGAGGGAGGGGTTTTCTGTGCAAATGCAAACTGCTGTCATTTCCAGCAGTCACGACACTCTCTCCTTTTTTTTCTTTTAACTGTTTCTTAATGCTGTTCTTCTTTTCAGCAGCCCTCCATGACACAGTTTTTGAGAAATGTAGTTTTTTCCAGTGTGCTAATGCTCCTTTTGTGATGGGCTTCTGTGCGCGTGTCTGCCTCTGTGCGATCTCTTGTAGTTTTGTATTCACATATACGTGTATGTGTTGCCGTGTGCGTGAGTCAGATTTAATCCCCCTTCCAGCAGCAGTTGTATTGGCAGTGATGCTGGCTCTCCAGTATACACAAGCGTAAAAAAAAGTGCAGGTATGCCGGCTGCTGCTGACTCAGTCATCCGTACCTTCAGTCAATTATGTACATAATCCACATAATGAGATTTCCAATGACATGGGCGAAACATGAACCCTCTGGGTCTGGCTGCTGCGGCCTCACACAGAAGGCAATTACAGCAGCACTAGTTCCCCGTGAGTGCAACCGTACCTGTTTTACACAGCACAAGGTTTCAAGAAGACACACACACTCACACACAAGTTTGTTTTTATACATTGTGAGGACGTAGGGTCCTGCAGTACTGTGCAAAAGTCAGAGACTACCCTTCATTTATTAGATGAAGGATAATCCAGTTGCGTATGGAAGGAGAGAGTCAAAGGAAAATAAATGAAAGAACAGGATTTCCCAAAACTGGTTCCGAAAAAATGGGACTCCTAACAATCATGCAAGACCTGGTAGCCCACCAAAACTGTCGCCATCAGATAAACAGTACTTGATCATCTCTGTCCATTCTTCAACTGTGAGAAGACAACTTAATGTTGTCTCAGCATTTTTGAATATGTTTGGGATTGCATGTTTTTAGTGTTTTTTTTTCTTGACACTGAAAATTTTTTGACTGTTTTGACTGGGAAAAAAAGAAGGATGGAACTGTATGCACAGTACTGTACATATTTCTATGTGGTATTCAGGTTTTTTCATTAAATTTTTTTATTGTCTGTACATATATACACCAAGTGGACAAGTGCATAATCCCCGCTTCTGACAATTTTATAAATAAATTTACTTACATGTAATAATAATGTGTCCCATATGGTTTTGCCTTTTCAGTTTAAAAAATGAAATGTCTAGCTTTTGTAAAAAGCACTTTTTCAAAGTAAGGACCGTTCTGTTGCTCGGCATTAGAGATGACATAATGGTGTCACTGGATACCAGTGTCAGTATAATTTTAAGGCAAATGATTTCACAGCTTTTTTTGAGTTAACTCAAATTTTGACTAAACTAAGCTGAGTTAACTAAAAAAACCTGCAAAGTCACTTGCCTTATAATTTTAAGCTGCTTGAGTACATTGTTTGAGTAGTTGGAGCATAATAGAATAGTTTTGGATGCTCATTTTAACCATTTTGAACCAGGTATCTCACTGGCGAGCCATTCTGAGAATTTAGCTATGGCACAATACTTGTTTAAATCTGCTGCCAGAGTAACTACGATGCATGTATATTCACGTTAGCCAGAGTAAAATGTGTCTTTTCAAAGATTCTTTTACTGGTGGATGCA